GAGGTCAGAATTTGAATTTACTACAGAGGATCCAAAGACTACATTAGCACTAGTGAAATAGCAGCCGACCTCGAGAGTGCAACAGTTGTTGCTGAGGACCTGAGACATACATTTAGGGGAAAATGCAGTATTTCAGACTAGATCTCTCCTGGTTCTGAAGACTGATCTCCCTCCCATCACTAGTTATGCATCTTGCTATTTTTTTTCAGCTGAAAGGAGTAAAGTTTGAATTCCTGGAGACTACTCAGTGATGGCAGCATAGCATCCTAAGTGGCACTGGGCAAATTTGCTTCAAAGGTGTATTCCTGATCCAAGCAAAACCATTGATGCAGATATATCCAAATAAAAAAGATATTCCATATTTCCCTGATGATTCCCTTTTCTAATAGTCAAACTAACACAAGGTTTCTTAAACATAAACGTATTTCAGAAAGTTTAAAAACCTTCACAACATGAGGTCAAAGATGTTAGAAAGTTAAAATGAATTTAATATGATTAAAAAAGCATTTCTACTAATAAAGTCCTTCGGTTTGCACTGAGGTTATACAGGGATTTTACACACCAGTCATTTCATCAATAATAAATTGAAGAACATAACATTCATTTTTTCTAAAAGATTATAAATAAATATGAGAGACTTTTCCATTAAAGAAATCACTTGCAGATACCTTTTTAATGCCCTCAGTTTTTCTAATTTAAATTCTATTATTACAGTATCATTAAAATTCCAAGCAGGCAGATTTGGTCTACATGAAACGAGACATGGGACAGGCCTTTTGTGACACAATTAAGAGTGTTCCTTTCAAGGGCAGCGTCACAGAAGGTGAACACTAATTTGACTAATATGGTAAAGGAGGATGAATGATTGTGGGAAGGAAGGAAGGAAAGCAAAAACAAACTCAGTATCGCATTTTTTTTCTGTGAAGTTCTCTGTCATATTTAACTTTCACTTTCTAAATAGGTTATTACAGGGACAGTAATTTGCATAAAAAAGATTAAAGATTGCATGAAACGTCCAAGACTGCTTTGCAGCTATAATATGAACAAAGAAAAAACAGTCTTTGCAGATGTCAAATGAATTTTAAGGAATTGATCAAAGATACTCTGATAATAATAATAATAATAATAATAATAATAATAATAATAGCACACGATGCATAAAATACCCCCAACACTAGGTATCAGAGTGCATATGCTATTCCTGAAAATAACTTAAAACATCTCGACTTCCTCATATGAAAGCCAGAGCTTCATGCAAATTAGAAAGGAAAGCTCACAACACTATTTCTTAGTTCTGAAATACTTTTTTCTAACAGCTAATTTTTATCAGATGGGAAAATGAAAATCATCATAAACTTGTAGCTCAGACCAAAACGTTTTACAAAACAAAACAATTTAAATGTCTTTTAAAACAGGTGCCCTAAAGGAATTTAAATCATCTAGCTAACACCCTTTTCAATACTGCCTTACTTGCTTCAAACTGCTGGTCATGATGTACAGTATACATTTGGTTTAGTTTACACAAAGCATAAGTAGCTATCAGACACTCAGATCATACTTGATAAACTCTTAAAAGCCTATATGTACAAGCAATATATGTAATATGTATATTTTAAAAAACCTCTACAGTAAAGTTTCCTGTTACCCAATACTCTTCATAGCACTATTAGTCAGTATTACCATGGACATCCTTTCCATTACTTTATGTAACCTATCAGAATGAAAGCTGAAAAGTTCATTAACGCTAAAGGAAATACTCTTGAATATTAAGCCTAATGCACACCAGCACAAAGTCACATGATGAAACAAATGCAGCCTCTGTGACTGGATTTTATGGATACATGCTGATTACTTGGAGCACTTTGGGAAACCGGAGCAGTCAAACTACTTTTTCACTGCAGCTGAAATCAACCACCAACTGGTCACAAAACTAGCATGATCCTAGGGGAAATACTAGTATTTCCACTAATTTTACTTAATACTAAGACTAACTCAAGTCAACAAGTCCAGAGAAGACTGAGCCCGCTTCATTTTCCCCCTAAAAAGAAGAAAAAAACCTGACTTTGCACCCTGTGACAGTAGAAAAGCTAAAAAGCCTGTCTTAAAAATTGTCCTCCATCACTTTGTAAGCAGATTATGATGCATCTGAATGCAGTGGTAGTGGTATGGATTCAGATTCTGGAAAGATCCACCACACAGTCATACATGCATCTGTATCATTTATCATGCAAGTGATTTGGAGTATCTCCCTATGTAAGTTTACACCTCAAAGGACATGAAATCAATTACAGCACGATGCATAAAATACCCCCAACACTAGGTATCAGAGTGCATATGCTATTCCTGAAAATAACTTAAAACATCTCGACTTCCTCATATGAAAGCCAGAGCTTCATGCAAATTAGAAAGGAAAGCTCACAACACTATTTCTTAGTTCTGAAATACTTTTTTCTAACAGCTAATTTTTATCAGATGGGAAAATGAAAATCATCATAAACTTGTAGCTCAGACCAAAACGTTTTACAAAACAAAACAATTTAAATGTCTTTTAAAACAGGTGCCCTAAAGGAATTTAAATCATCTAGCTAACACCCTTTTCAATACTGCCTTACTTGCTTCAAACTGCTGGTCATGATGTACAGTATACATTTGGTTTAGTTTACACAAAGCATAAGTAGCTATCAGACACTCAGATCATACTTGATAAACTCTTAAAAGCCTATATGTACAAGCAATATATGTAATATGTATATTTTAAAAAACCTCTACAGTAAAGTTTCCTGTTACCCAATACTCTTCATAGCACTATTAGTCAGTATTACCATGGACATCCTTTCCATTACTTTATGTAACCTATCAGAATGAAAGCTGAAAAGTTCATTAACGCTAAAGGAAATACTCTTGAATATTAAGCCTAATGCACACCAGCACAAAGTCACATGATGAAACAAATGCAGCCTCTGTGACTGGATTTTATGGATACATGCTGATTACTTGGAGCACTTTGGGAAACCGGAGCAGTCAAACTACTTTTTCACTGCAGCTGAAATCAACCACCAACTGGTCACAAAACTAGCATGATCCTAGGGGAAATACTAGTATTTCCACTAATTTTACTTAATACTAAGACTAACTCAAGTCAACAAGTCCAGAGAAGACTGAGCCCGCTTCATTTTCCCCCTAAAAAGAAGAAAAAAACCTGACTTTGCACCCTGTGACAGTAGAAAAGCTAAAAAGCCTGTCTTAAAAATTGTCCTCCATCACTTTGTAAGCAGATTATGATGCATCTGAATGCAGTGGTAGTGGTATGGATTCAGATTCTGGAAAGATCCACCACACAGTCATACATGCATCTGTATCATTTATCATGCAAGTGATTTGGAGTATCTCCCTATGTAAGTTTACACCTCAAAGGACATGAAATCAATTACAGTAATGAAGAAATGATCAGGAAAATAATTGGGACCGTATTTCTTCCATAGTGAAGGTAATAGAAAAATTATTTGACTGTACATAGTTACACAAACCTATGCATAAACTAAAACTTAACTTAAAAAAAAAATAATAGCAAAATGAGACATAAATGTTAGGAATATGGGAACTCCCTGATTTCAAAGTAAACAACAGCGAATAAAGAGACGGTTTTCAGATCATATTTTCCTGTTTAACCTTAGCAGAGAATAACTGAGAATAAGGTTTTTTATCATTTAGTATGTAGTAACATACTGCACTGGAGTTTTACATTTGCTAAAACAGGGTTCCTTTCACAGTATGTACATTACACAGAGGCAGAAAAAAAAGCCAGGAAAGAACATTAAACATTTAAAACAAATAGGGTATTATAATATAATTTGCAAACAAATATAAAAAGATTTCAAGTTTGACAGCCCTTATTTTTAACTTAAATAGTTTATATCAAAATACAGTTATTCACACATCAAAAATAATGTCCTATGCTTTCTCATAAGTGATACAATGAATTCAAGCAATATTTTGTGTTCAATAATGTGTTAATTTGGTAATCAGCAAGACATTAACCTAAAATGTGTATTTAAGAAGCTCCATTCTTTAAATTTTAAAATTAGGTAAAATAGGCAAGCATAGATAAGTGTAATAAAATCATGCTTATTTTGAGAAAGAGACTATGCTTTAATTTCTTAGGATTATGAGCAGAAAAGAATTAGGACCCTTGAGTAGAAAAATAATTCTGAAATATAAATTATTATGCTTCCTAAAATTTTGTGGAACACAGAAGGTGCTTTACTAGTCTTTTAAAAAATAAATCAAAAATAAATGGCTTACTCATACTTAAAATGCAGAGATGTAAGTGGAAAAGAGTTGGCTTATGAAGGAAATATCAACCAAGTAGATACTAATTGCAAATCTGTGAGAAGAAGCCAAGGAGGCTGTTAAGCTTTCTGAACAGTGATATAGTTTAACAATTCAATTCCTTTTTGTTTCCCTCCCGATGGACTTTCTGCAGTAGCTTACTGATTAAAAAGGGTATTTTTACTTCAAATTTGCAATGATGCTGGAATGACAGTACATTTTTCTGTGTCTGTATAATTTATTTCTGAGATACAGAGACAAAACAGACTTGTCATAACTCTTCCAAATTTCATGAGAACTGTACCACTTAAAAACCACCATTTTATCAAAAAATTTTCTTCATCACAGCTTTATAGGCAATAAATTACAACTTTCAATTACTTAGTAGTGAAATCCAAATGGAAAACCAAAAATAGAAGTAGGAGAATATTGTGTTAGATGCTAAATGCCATTTTTTCACGACAGTAAGGATTTATTATAAGAATGAGGATTTATTTTAAAAGTATGTGTTGCACTGAGCAGAGAATGTTGAAAAAGCTCAGAAAAAGAAAGTCACAAAATGAGCAAGAATGAAAAATCTTTTGAGAAGTTCATAGAACATATTTTAAATAATAATGCAACCCCCTCAAATTCTTTTCAGTTAAACAGAGTTCTTGTAATGTATCCCTTACCTTAACAACAGGATTCAGCAGAACAACACCTGATTTCTTTGTAATAACTTGCTTTGTTGTGTAATGATGTTCTATGAGCTGAGGAATAGTTGGAAACCCAGTTCCTTCAAAACGATACTGATTCTGCATGGAGGTAAAAAGAAATAATTGTTTCTCTACAAGCAATATTTCAAACAAGAAACTTGCAAAAGTGCATCACCAAGCTTCCCTCCCTAGTAACAAAACAAAGAAATGCTTGGTTTTACAGAATCAGGTATCTTTCCTAATACTGAATTAAATGGAATGATGGCTAGCAAAATGATAATTTATTAAATGCAAAATTACTGCATCAGTCATTTAAGGCAACATGATAAAATAACTACTTATTTAAATTCTTAATTTAAAGAGACAGGACAGTAAAATTTAAACCTCTGACAGAGTGCAATACAAATATTCTAAACCAGAAAAAACAACACTAACTTTCTAATTACTTAAAATTCTAAGAATTTATAAAAACAAACTTAAAAATAAACCTCTGTCAATAAAATAAACAGGAGATAAGTAACACTATCTTACTCAAATCTTCCTGCATTTACAATGTTTGATAAAAGTAATGAGTGCCTGGCATATAGTGTAAGCTGCATGATTGGTCTTTAATGAGAAGTATATAACAGAAGAGCCTAGAACGACTAAAAAGAAAGGCAGGTCATGCATATAATTAATAGAGAATTTGGGCAAGACAAAATTCCACCCCCTGCGCTGGTTCACATTATTTCTTTTTATACATATAATTGATCTCAGTGAAAACAATTAAATCTTTTAATATTTTCTTAGAAGCACATAACCTTTTCTTATCAAAGACTACTATGCTGTATCATTATTTCAGGTGTTAAGGGGAAAACATGTATTTTCATTGCTTATCTTTGTCCGTACACTTGGCAGGGGGAAGGGAATAGTAAAGAAGTTTTTATTTCATCCTCCTGAAATTCTTAAATTATATACTACTGCTGACTAGGAAACAGGATAAAATCTTGCATCTACACAAGACTCAGCATCTATAGTTAGAGCACAAGAGATGAACTACATAAGCCAGCCCCACAAAGGCAGAAATAAGTAAGTACTGCCCATTTACACAACTGGACAATGAAAAACTCTCCAAATAGCATGCAGACTTTTTTCTTTCTAGCCCCTGGGGTTAAATTCCTTGCACAATGCATTAATTTCCCTTCATTAGGGGTTAAAGCATTAACTTCCTGAAATGTTATCACTGTTAGTAAAGACAGCTTGGTCACATCATCTATTTTTAACATTCCCGGTTTTCTATCACAAAAATGTGATAGACAAAAATGTGACTGGATATTTTTTATTGTTTATTTTGTTGTTTAACTTCATTCACTAATTCAATAGTGACTCCATTTAACTGACCAGTAACACAGCTCCCATTACTTTCAAATAAGCTCCTTCAAATATTTTTGCTTATAATTCAAAAAAAACCTGATTTTCTAAGAGTCTCCAGCACAATAACCAGTACTGCCCATTATGTCCTCATCCCAGACCCAGCCGTGCACCCATCTGCTGCCATGTAAGACCTTCAGGGCAGACAGTGTTGTTTAATTCTACGCATTTACACATGATCCTGAACATTATTAAGATCAATAACATACAGTTTGAAAATAGCACAGCCTCAAATAAGCAGAAGCGGTGAATTTTGATGCTTAGTGCTGAATGGTGAACTCATTTATCACACAAACAGTTTTATTAAGATTAGCTTTAAAATAATGGTAAAACCAGAGAGAGAACACTTATGCAATTAAAGCACCATCGTTAAAACAGGTGTATGTCCCACTCTGCCCTTCATTATCTGATTCAGAAAAAAATTTGTTTATGGAGACGAAGTTTGGTCTCCACATGGGGAGCTGTCAGTGATCCAAGAGCATGCTTTGACTAGACACAGAGACACAATTCCACATTGTTCCTATAAATGTAAAGAAACAAACAAACCCCTTGCATTAAAATCCCCTCAGACTTCCCAAAAAAAATGTTCACAAATACAATCCCCCTTGTTATATGACCACCTCACTGTCTACTCCTTTTTAGAGCTTAATAAGCTTTTTCTCTTTTTACAATTAATGGTTTTTTTCCATAATAAATGCAGAAAAATCACCTCACAGGAGTACATAAGGAGTCCTGTATTTATTTAAGAAAAAAAAGTTTTAAATTCCATCATTGTCAAGAAAATCTACTAGAAAGGAATCTAGAGAGCAGATGAACATAATGCCCTGTTATTAAATGTACAAGCAGACAGATCTGGTAACCTTACAATATTTGGTCTGTCCAAGCTATGTAATATTAAGCAATACCAGTCTTACATTTCAAATGTAATTCCCAAGAGAAAGTAGTGAAGTTATGGAAATAAAGATAGCTTTTTCATTTTTTGTTGTTGAAAAAACAACACAAAAAAGTCGGCTTACAAGTAGGGGTGGTCTCAAAATAATACTCTATTAACCCTCTATTATAATTAACTTGAAAGTCCAATCTACATTATTTGAACATCTATTTGCCACATACAATGACTTAGACAAAATTATTTTATCCACACAAAGTATACAATGTATATTTATTTCTGCTGGGTTGGGATCAGAGAGCTCCAAGCATCTTGTAAGACTCTGTGTGTCTGGGTACAAGTAATTTTCTCACTCAGCAATCAGACATATCAAAATATTTTAAGGACATAAAATCAAAATAAAAGAAACACTGACTTTGTGTTTCTTTTCCTGTTACACTTTTACAAGGAAAATTATAGGTGAAAATTAATGAAAGTTCCAGCTGGACATGTGTCCATAATCATTGGTCCTACAGAAGCCTTCCAACTTCTAGGAAGTATGAAAAATATCACTGCCTTTCATTAAAAAGAAATAAACCAGTCAAATAAACTTTGACTTCCCCCAGGCCTGCTGCATCAGGATTTAGGCTGGGAAATTCGCTCAGAGTAAACATCGTTATGTGACTAGATCAGTGTATTTTTCTGTATATGGGAGATTTTACTACAAGAGATTGAAATGAGTTTTGGCAGCATAACTGAATCAAAACTGAGAATGATTTGCTGCTATGTTATACTTCAAGAATAATTTGTAGTAATGTTAGGAGATCTGTCATATTTTGAATTAGTTTGAAATTCTGAAAGGTAAAAATACATACATTTAAAAAAATGCATTAAGAAGAATAAAAAGAAATGCATTGAAAGAAAGGCATATGAAAATTAACATACTGTTTAAAATTTTTCTTAAGTTAGAAGAACAAGGGGATCAATTCAAGACTTTGGAAGCACATACACTATGCAACTTCCACAAGCGTTTCTGTTATACTGAACAAAACAATATCCACAGGGCTAAAAAGAACATAAGCATCTCCAGTGCAGCAGGGACTTCAATTCCCAACTGCACAGAAACGAACACAGCTTATTTTCTTCTCCATGAATGTTTCCATTTTTCAGGAAGATTCAATAGAAACTTTACAGTCTGAATTAAAAGTAGCCTAATTATCACCCACTATGAAAATGTGTTTACAAATAAATAACTGTGCATGTATAAACTAGTAGTAACAAGTTCTGGATTTCAAAACATTTAGAGAAATATCTTGGCTCTTCAATGTAAGGTACAACATGTTGAGTAACTTCATATTTTCCTTTTGTTTTCCAAGATGACTTTTTCCCCTGATTTCAGCACTGATGGACATACTTCCAACAGTTTTCACATGTTCATCTAAAAAGTAAATCTGTTTGCCATAGTAAATTATGTAGATTGCAAATTGTTTAGCTGAAATTATATACTTCCTAAAATTGAATATTCAGTACTATATCAGAGACGTACATCAGCATATTGTATGATAAAGTGTCTCCGTTGTCCATCTGAAAACACAGAAAGGACATATTCACCAGGTTTCCCGTGGCTCTCTCGCACCAAGAAGTCTCCTTGCTGTTTTAACAGTTCCTGGGCTTCTATTCTTGGAATTGCACCATGATACCAGTCTTGCTCAGCCAATGGTTTCTCAGTGGTTGATATTACATCAAAGAACTTGAAAAAAAAATTTAAGAAAAATGTTACTTTAACAGTAGACTTTTAGAGTTTACTTTTGTATGAAAAGCATGATAAACAACAATAATTTGTATTTCTGAATCTAAATTACATATTTCTATTAACAGAAAAAAATCAAGGCTCTTACATTTACACAAAGCATACTGATCACCTTCTTTTGTATTACCTAAAAAATTAATATATAAAAAGTAGAAGTTAATGAAAACGTCCACAAAACCATGTAATATTTTTCTCTTGGCCTGCTATTTTTCTTAAACCAACTCTTTCTCACACATTCTGATGTGCTATTAACAATACAAAATGAACCATTTCTATACCCAGAAGATCCAGACAGAAACTTCTCAGGCATAAATATGTAAGAAATTGATTTATATGAAGCACTTGAATTTGACAAATTGTTTTCACATAATTTACCAATTGCATCCCAAATCAACTAATACCTCTATGAGATATTTTTCTGTACCACAGAATATACACCCGGGCATACTGTGCTTGTGAATAAGAGTTTCTGAAGGCACAAAGATTTCACGGAATTATTTTCACTGGATATAAATGGAAGGTCATTAGTTTTAACCTACAATTTCACATATTAATTTTAACAAGCTTACACTGTTTAAGAAAACACTGAGGAAAACTTTATATTTTTTTCAATTAGCACTTCAGATTTATTTGTTATGGTAGACAGACAAGTTCTTGCTTAAGCTCTATGTCATTCAAAATCATTTGTGCCAGAGCTTATAGAAATTCTCACTGCCAGAGCGGTAAAGCTCTGAACAAAATAACACAGTGCATACTGTATTGTGAGCTGAACAGGTTTGTGAATGTGTCCCAGGCAAGTCTGCTGAACTGCATTTTAGATAACTCTCAGAGTGGGAATGAACAGACACAAAGAAAGGGAATCGCAGAATTACTTGTTTCTAAGTAACTGTAATATTTTAGCACTTTACTATGAACGTTTCTGATATAAAAATGCCTTTGTGGGTTCCTAGCTGCTTTTCTAAGGCATACCTCAAAAAGTCTAGTTTAGTCCAGGATCTTGATGGAAAACTGGAGAACATAAATTTAAGAGCCTGACAGAGCCTTATATTCTCAGACACTGACACTGGGACGTAGAGCCCAGAGCCTGCATCAGGGATAATTTCAAACATGAGATTTGAGGCCACCATTTTATTCAGTAGACTCATCACTATAAAGAGCATGCTCTGTCACAGCTTTTGCTCTATTACAGATTCAGAGTTAGGAAGGACTAAAAAAAACTTGAAGAGAAAATGCACGGTCAGAGTTTTTTAGGAGTAAACAAAGTACTCCAAGGTACTCTGTTTATCAACATAGTGAACTACTAAAAGCCCAAGATACAGTTTGGCCAAGAAGGCAGTCAGGTATTTCTATTTCATCAACAGTTAAATACATCTCAGATCAGAGCTGTCTGCCACTGCTAAATTACACTAAATCATTCACTTTTAGAAATTCCTCAAAGAAAAAACAAGCTTTCAGAATATTAATGTTTTAAGGATAAAAGGACAGTTCAGGGTTAATAAACTACTTCCTGGTCTTCACAAAAGAAGGTTAAACAAAAAATGATTTGACATGCAACTTGTTTTATAGCTTGCTAAAGAGAAAGCCATCAGATAATAACACCTGCATACATTCAAACTGAGTAAAATCCAAGTCACTGTTCAGACAATCATGATGACGTCCCAAAATAAAACATCTTAGAAACTTTTATGACAGAAAAAAAGCTTATGGAAGAACTTCAGAGCATTTTAGACATTGCTAACTATGACACTGTTTATGACACTGTCATCAATCTTCCTCCTTCTTTTAATTGGTTAAACTAATATTTATTACTTCAGAATGAAACAGTGAAAATTCTACAAGGTATTCTCTACTACTGTCTCCTACCTTACATTACCTTTACTTTTTGTCATATAATATGGGGCAGCCATAAGCAAGGTGGTTTCTCTGATGAAACAAGCAGCAATTATTTGTGTTTTGAGTGTTATTAAAATTACTTTATTTTTATGAAAAACATAATTCACCCTGACTGGCTAAGAAAGAAAACATAGCTAAAAGCCCAGAAAGAACAGTGCAAATGCAAGATATATAATCATTTTAATATTGACTTCAACTCAGTTTACACCACTTAGTGCTAACATTTCCACTGCATTTTATGCTTAAAACTAAATGGTTTAAATACAAGAATAAATACAAGAAAGATTAGTCTTTAAGGAAAAAAAGCTACCTGCACAAAATTAAATTACCATCTCTTCTCTTTACTGGATTTAAATATCAGTAAGTAACTGAATATGACTAATTGGATACCTAAAAGAACACGTTTGCATTCTAAGCGTCAGTCTTTTACAATTTCACTTGGGGGATGAGATCTCTTGATCATTTGTGTATCCACACTTACAGGAGCACTTAGTGATTCAACAACTTAAATAAAGAAATATTTTTCTAACATTTTGTCCTTAATTTGACTGGAAGCTAAAAATAAACAATTAACAAAATCACACAAAGGATGGACTCACACTGTCAAATTTCTATGCTCCCACCCAATCCCTCCTTTTTTTTGTCTTTTATTTTTCCTTCAAGATTTTCCATATTTTGCTCATGGGTTATTTGACGGCGGAGGAGGGCTGGTGTGTGTGTGCCTTTATATACCTTCATCACACTTTGCCTTCTGAAAGGAGGAATATATGAGGAAATTTCACTTCCTGAGATGAGGGAAATGCCCTTATATACTTCATCATGCTCCTCATGGAGCTAGTACTGCCCTCTTTACCACTAAGCCCCCTTCTTTCTCCCTGTGTAACAATCCATTGAAACAGCAGTTTTTCTCCAACGGTAAAACGAAGCAGTCCCCAGCTGCTGCCCTTAGCCAAGAAAAAAATGAGCAATGGGCAGAGCATTATTTTTAACTTCAAAAAATGATATATTATTCCTGTACGCTGTCAATAAAAGAAAATAATAATAATGGGAATTATATTTTATTAAACTAATAGCTTATTTATATTGCATTTTCACATACATTCTGCGCTCAAACTGTGTACTTCATTATTTTGCATCTTTAGGCAAACAAAAGATTTTGTCAAAAATTTTTTTCTCTTAGTGTAAAAGAGGGGTACAGACACAGATGAGAAAGTGAAGAAATAAATTTTGGTTGATAATTTGAGACAATTCCCTATGGAATATCCTGCCCTTAGCCTCAGTGTACTTGGCTCCTTCCCACATGCTGATACACCATATGAAAACAACATTAATGCTACCTATGAATCTATAAACAATAAAAAAAGCCATCCTATTAACAATAGCAGATGTCTGTGCCAAGCTCAAATGCCACAGTTACAAAAAATAGGCACAAGGGCAGAAGGTGGCATTCATGATGCAATTTGTTCAGACTTTTCGTTCAGTTCATTCATAGCACTGCATTACAGGTATGTGGAAGTTGACCCTTTTCTTGTGTTTTCTCTCTTCAGTTGATTAAACTGAAGTCTCTTGCTATTATAGTAAACTGGCTTCCATTTTGTCCAAGAGAAGCCACTTGAACAAACCTTGTTGGTTTATCTTCAAACTGAAGTTTTTTCCTATATCACCTCTTCCCTTCTCAGTCTGAGAACATGTAAATCATTTAAGTGCCAGCACATAAGTAACAGTTAAACTCCTGGCTGATTTTGCAAGCACACAGTTTCTCTACAACTTTCTTCAAATGACATAAAAAATAATTGCTTTCTCTATTTACACACAAAATTCAGGTTCTCCCACTAATTAAATACAGGATGGTGTTTTCAGAATAGCACTGCATTTAACAAGATATTGCTCCACTTCTAAAGTTTCAATATACTTAAAACATATAATATGAAAACAGGTAGTTAACATCACAATTTTAAACTATATGCTGTAAGAGGATCAGCACTAGTCCGTTTCCTACTATATTTCAAGATAATTTTTTAATTTAAAAAAATAACAAATTATTTTATGTATGTTATACCTTCAATAATCAATTTGTTAACTTCACTGATTCATAATAAGTTTTAAGTACCAGTTTACATATTTAGCAGTAAGCACGGTTATGCAACTGTCAGCAGGAAAAAGCCAAGCAGCTAACCACATTAAGAGCTAAGTACTAATTTGCGAAGCAAATTTTCACTGTATATGCATGGTTAGCTTTTCTAACACACAAGAAATTGCTAAATCAAAACACAAAGCAAAACTGATTGGTTTACAGGATAGGTAATCAAAAGTACACTTGTTACTCGGGTTTTGCTTTCTGCCTCAAATGACCCAATTCTGATCCTACTTCTCTTAAACATATTCCAAGGCTTCAGCAATCCTACCTACCATGTACCTACACCCAGGTTTATACCAACTTCCATGGAATTAACAGTGATATAGATTGGAACTAAGACCAAAATGAGGCGGATAGGTTATTCAAAATGACACTTTAATTAAAGCCAATGAAATTTTGACATTGACTTCCTGTGATTTCCTCTTTAAGGATAATAAGGATTTAATCTTTAAAATAAATGTTTTATCTTGACCCTCTTCTTGAAATTTTTTCTCTTTCAATTTTTGTCTGAAGTACTTTTAAGTAGTATTTTTATTTTTTTAAAAAAATCATAACAAGTTCTATAATACATAGACAAAATTAAAGGCTATTTCTCACCTACATAAAGAACAGAGGTAAACAGCAATGTACATTTTAACATGCATTTATTATGAAATGTTCCACTTTTACATAAATTAGAAATTTTATAAATGAAACATCATGATAAGGTGGAGATTTTTTTTTTTATAATATTTTAGCAGGGGTTTTCCTACTATTTTTCAAATATTTAATGTAATGTTGACATTTCTCATAGGAAAATCCTTCCTGTCCTAATTTTATCTCATTATGATATTTATTATTCTATTCCTTTATCACTATATACAATTTTCCTATGTATACATGTGTGCACATATATATATATACATATATGTAATTGTAATCTCTTCCACACGTTCTGAATATTGTTTAGCTTAAATAAAGTTCACTGGGTCCTTTAATGAGTCCTTGGATGCAGCCCTGCAGCATAAAATAGAAGGCCCATTCATTCTGAAGTTTTCTCAACAAAAACTATTTTGAGCTAATGTTTCAGGTCACAAGATCATATTTAAAAGGCAGTTTTAAAACGTTTTTTAAATTTTGCCCAAGTTTTTATGGGTTTGTTTTTTCATTTGGTATTTGGTTTGAGATTTTTTGGGAGCTGGTTTTTACAGGGTTTTGTTGGGAGGGCTGGGATGATCACACATTCCATTTTAGGAAAACTTGGAAGGTTTTCAAGTAAAATCTGACATCTTGGTAAGCAGGTGCTCATGCATTTGAACCAGTCTTGCAAGGTTCTACATGAAAACAGAGGTAATACAAAAGACATAAGTTTCTCTATCCATTAGGGAACAAGAACAAAAGCCAACTAGAAGTAAGAGACACTCAAGAACTGTTTTCAGTGGTGACTAAGTAAGAGGTATAATCGTAATTACTTAAATAGTACCAGTTACTGAGGAAGAAGAAGTAGCAGTAATAGTAATAATAATGATGTGCTGATATACCGGTACCTTTAAAACAAATATGGGGAATACAGCTATTGCTGTATTGTGTAAAAATTGCATGACCATCAGAGCTACTACAGAATAACATAATACACTGCATTTTCAGTCAATCAGACTCACTGGGAAGAGTACTTTTAAAATTATAGTACCAGTCTAGGAGCTCCAAAGAATATAGAAATTCTTCTCTTTCCCTAAAGTGCAACAAGTTGTCCTATATACTATTATGCCATGATATTATCATGTCTGCTGATCAATCAGAAAAGTGTTTTTATAACATTAGTTTAATGTAATTGTTGTCCATGTAGATGGAAACGCATGGTGCCTCACAAAAAAAACCCAATCATATTTAAGCTGTAAAAATAACAGAATATAGTATAACACCACATTACTGTTACTACTTACCGACGATGAGCCCAACATGGATTTTGGAGACCTTATAATTCCAGCTATGGAATGACGTATAGTGTCAAATCTTGAGACTTTGTCCTTCTTGTCCTGGGAGAAAAAGTCAGTGAAAACAGGCAAATCAGTATGCTAACTGACTTATTGGAGAACATGGAATGTAAACTGTATTTTATTTAAAAGACAGAGGCTAAGCCCCTACTGGTACAAACCAGTAAGTGTCAACATCAGTGGGATTAAGTTAACTCATATCAATTTAAACACTGACAAATTCTATAATTCCTTAAATGTTTCATGCAATTATTTTAAGTACCACTATTGTTAACTATAAAGACAAAAGAAATTCTTTTGTACCCTAAAAACAAAGGACATAATTCTCAGTTCTCCTGAAATACTTATTATTTTAAAAGGACACTGATTTGAAACTATATAATAAAAAAAAGTCCACATAGTAAACCTCAAAAATATGTATGTACATTACCCTTACAGGTTTGTTTTTTTCCTTTTATTAACATTCTTTTCTAACAATACACTGCATTGTAAATATTAGTACCAATCAGTGCGAATTACAGGATCCATTAGTTTTCTGGCACTACCGTAAACTATACATGCAGCCACCATCTAGATTCTAAATTCTGTAAGAAGGCGGCTCTATCTGGAACACTGAAACAGCATTTAAGCATCCCTACTTCAGCATAATACAATGTAAATTCCAAGATGCTCGTAACTTGTCTATTCTAAAAGCTGTATATTTCTTAATCTTTGACTTGCCATCAGCTCTCAAAATTAATATCAAGTATCTTTCAAAAAATACAAAAATGTATTTTTCACACTGACAAGCTGAGTTCATTGCTTGTAAATCACCCTTAGAAACAGCCAAGATAATTATGAGTAGTTGAAAAGTAATTAAACCTGAAGCAGACTCTTTAACAACCTCATTCTAATTAGCTCTAGGTTACCTAAACTGTAAGAAACTGATAATGGAGACAGACTACAACTGTTTGGCAATGTCACCAAAAAAACTTGCTTCCAAGTTCAGGACGTACACCCTTGACTGAAGAAACTGAAAATCTGATCATGTAATAAACGAAGCTTCCACTCATTCCAGAACTTCCAAATAAAAAACAAAATCTATTAATTCTCTATACAGAATATACCAGTGTTTGAAAATGACTCCCAAACACAATTTAGCTTACAGGATATAGGGTTAAACATTGTCTTGGTCAAATAAATTTATTTATTTGGTAGCAAAATTCTGCAATGTGCCTTGATTTGTAAGCTGTGAAAAAAAAAGTGCAAAAACCAGGCAAGTAGTCAAAACACCAAGTAGGGACATACTCATTACTATGTGTGCACTTACCTATCAATAACATTTTTATTCCTTTTATCAGACTCAAGTAATATTGTATGTATGTAAATAAAAAACTTTGTGCTGAGACCTGCTTTTTATTTTTATAAAATTGATGAGTTAAACTGGCTACAGACACACCAAAAAAACTTATGTCATTAACACCAGGGGGACAGAGAGTCTAATTTCACTTGCATGCTGGGTGTGGAATGATCCACTCATTTCACACACCTCTTCAGAAGTGAGCCCTGAGATTTAACTGTAATTAAATGTATATTTTTTGTACGACAGATAAAATAAGTTATCGAAAGAAGCTACACTTCCACTAAACAAACTCAGGAGCATCCTTTCTATTTTACACTAATAGCGTGCTTATCTAGTGACAACATCAAACTGCCAGTAGGATTCTACATTCACCAGTTTGTCCTTATCGAAAAATGTTTTTAACAAGAGGGTTACTCAAAGAGGGTACTCTGAGTACCAGAAAGACTCATGGACTGGGCCCCACTAGCAGACTTTGATAAGCACCGCCAAATGATATATAGAGGCTAATAGTCACATTAATAGAGTAAGCATTAAAATGGAGATTTATGGGATAAACTTTGGCTTTGTTCAAAATATAGTGCATGCCCTGTTCAAACTGCAATACATTTTTAAACACTTTGGTATTTTCACAGAACTTTCCCTCTGACATACTGAAACCACTCTCTATCTTACAGCAATGAAGACTCATCATTTATCTGCACAACAGGCATTATTAACACAACTGTAGCCCCTACTGAGTTTATTCTGTTTAAGAATTTTTAGGGCAATGCAAATAAATCTGAAGAGCAGGAACAGTGGTCTTATAGTGGGTTTTTTTTTGTCATTGCCCAGCTGCAGACCCCCTTAGAAAAACCCATTAGATCTTGCAGGAAACCAGTTTTCATTGAGAACAGTATATTCACCAGTGTGAAGAGGGTTTTTTTTTATGCATATTAGGCATATTTTTTTCGTAATCTGGTATAATAATACAGTCCAGCCTGGAAAGGAATTAGGAGTTCTGCATCAGGGATGCTGTAGCGATCATTATGAAGTAGCAGGCTTGCTAGCATACACAATGCAGCTACTAAAACGTTTTGGCTGACTCAGTTTCATTTTGATTTAAATGAATTACTTTCAGAGATATTACCAAAATGGTAGCATGATTTGTCACTTCCTTTATTTTATACAACACCAATTTCATCAAAAAGAAAACTAATCTGTGGGCCATAATATTTTATGCAATGACTGAATTACTGCAGAATAAACCGTAGTTTACCATTAGGAAGGTAGATATGTATGAAAATATATACTGTCATTAGAGGGCATTTTTAATCTACTTCTTTGACTCCGATCAAATGTACCTGTGGCACGAGAATACATCATACAAGGAACTGTGAAAAATGCATTGACTGGTATTTCCCTTTTAGGACTAGCCATATTTCTAATCACTGTCCAGAATGAATTAAAGTGAATCTCCACCAGACTTGGAACTGACACTTAGAACAGGTCATGAATTTTCTACTCATTGGTCAGGTACACCTAGCAAAACTGCTGAAAATCCAACTACTTACTCTGGAATGATGCAAGACTGATGAACTTCTATACGGAATACAAACAGCTGTTTTATGGGTGGGACTTCTCGTCATTACCCACTTTGGTAAATAATGCAAAGCCTTAATGCTTTTCTTTCCAAAGAATATAAAAAGTATTTACTAAGACAAATAACTCTTTCATTGAATAACTGATTGACAGCAATTACTTGTAGCAATCAGATGAGAACATTCGGTTGTATTTTATAAGCAATGAGTTTGGGACACAGCAGTGTTACAATTCTTTCACAAAACAAGGAACGCTGAAACCCTGTTCCTAGTTGTTTACACCTCAGCCAGCGTTTTTGTTCCAGTTCTCTTTTTCCTTCTTAATAGTCAGAACAATCAGCTCTTTTAAAGAGATGTTCTATCAGAAGATAACCACTCCAGTGCTCCTAATTTTACTTTCCATTTTTGTGTTCTGTACAAGATTCAGAGAGGAAAAATAAAGCATAAGAACCCAAAAAGAAGTGCAGGATTCAGGCCAGCTGAAAAACACGAGTGAACCACTCTCTATTTTGCTTGAGGATTTCCTCAGGTGCATCTCTATATCTGATATACAGAAAGTCGAGCTTCTGTGTTTCTTATGTTCACTCTGGGGGATCTTGTGCATCATGAGTTCCTAACCATTTTAATGGATTTTCCACAGAATTTATCTTCCATGGTAATGCACTACAACTGTTAGGGTCCTATGGACAAAAAACTCCCTTTTGCCAGATATACAGTTCTGTCATTGGGCAAAATCACCACAGATCTTAGAGAGCATGAAAAATAGTACAATACACCCAGAACTGTGACACAATCAAAATGACAGGCCATAAGAATCATATTTGCAACGGTATTTCGAATGAACATGCACAAGAAAAAGCAAAGACAGGGGAAAAGATTTTGCTTAAATTGAACTGCATAAACGTAAAAGCACAAAAGAGCTTTTTAGCTGTATAAATCCAGAAAAATGGCTGTATCTTAGACATTATAGTAGAAGAAAAATAATCTATACTCTTTTTAGAAAAGCAAGGAATGTAGAAACTGGAGAGACAGCTAAGATAAAGATAAAACAGAATTAATGCTTCTGAGGGACAGGGAAATAGTAACAATCTCTCTACTGATCCAAATGTGGAAGATTAACAATAAGAGGGACAACAGACAATGTAGCATATATTGAATATTGCTAAAAACACTGGCCAGGCATGTATATATAGGTGATATAAATAGGCCAATACTTTTAAATATTATTCCATGCGAAGAAAGACTGCCTAATGAGAAAGATATGAACCATCAGCATGGATACAGAAGTTGAATGTGGGCTTGCAAATGAAATTAGAGAACCTTCACAGGGAATTTAGAGGAAACACGAGGAGGACTCTCCAACTGAAAGAGAAAACATTCTCAGAAGAAAAGGAGATTTCAATTAGAAAACATAATCAGTGATAACTAGAAGATGAGCATGATAGTACTGTTTCTGAGGGTTAGGGAACTAGTCCTCAGAGATTTTTGATGAAAACTATTTCAGTACAGTACAAGAGCTCTAAGATAAAACCAGAAGGGAGGAATTCCTGGTAATTATTGCAAATGATATGTTCAATGAACTTACAGATAAAAAAGACACCAGACAGTATCTACCAGAGCAATTAAGATGCTCTCCTTTTCATAAAGTGAATGCTAGCTTCATTTCTGGTTTGAAGATACAATTTCCCTGATGAAAAAGGTGCCAGAACAACATTCATCTTAAGGTTTCAAATTTAGATAATGAGGAGAACAAGGAAATTTTTTTTGCTTTTAGAAGGCTATAGATGTCTGGCATGAGTTCTGTGATTTACAAGCAAGAATTCTTCAAAGAAGCAGTAGACAAAATAATTTTCTAAAAATGATCCTCTGCATTAGTCACTTCAGCAGTGGAAATTAAAAGTTACTTAGGACAGGCCCCAAAACCATGTAATAAACTTAGACTATGGCAGTAACTCAGTCCTGGATATCAATGAGTGGATATACTAGCAACAAAATTTTTGTCTGCCTATTTTATCAGTATTAGGCCATTCTAAAGGATATGTACATGCTGACATATATTAAAATCTTAACATACAGTAGAACATATCTGATTTCTGATCTATGATTTAATTTCAGAAATAATA